TGTCAGTTTGTTAGTGTTTGAGCGCTTAATCAGCTGCTTGCACTGTATGCTTCCCGGGAAGCTGAGAATGTTTCGGAGTGTTCTATGGTCTGCTGGGGCAATAATATAGTGTAAAGCGCATAGAGCCTGCTGTTGAGCGGGGATATGCGCTATACAAATGCTGTTTATTATTATAATAATGGATCGATGAAAGAAGGAAAAAAAAATAAAGTCCCCGCTCGGGAATCGAACTCATGTCTTTTGCATGCAACAACCAAGAAAGAGCAGAACCATTACATCATAGACGCCGATTTTGTGGATGCTATTACAAATAGATCTAGTGACAAATTGACATACACAAAAAACAAACTACTGCAAGTGCAGTAAAACAGTTACTAAAGCAAAACATTTTTAAATAATAGAGAGCCTTCAATGTGAAAACAACTGACACATCGACAGATAAGACAACATAAGACCACGTGACATGCTGGTATATCACAAGTTTCGTTTTTGTACCACGTGACCTGCCAATAAACCTTTTAACTCCCCCGCAGAAAGCACAACGACGTAACACGGTAAAATATCACAAGACCCAATATTTGACCTGGTGAAACGCACGCCCAAAGATCACATGACCCAATATTTGACAAGGTGACACGCCCAAAGATCACATGACCCAATATTTGACCAGGTGACACGCCCAAAGACCACATGACCCAATATTTGACCAGGTGACACGCCCAAAGATCACATGACCCAATATTTGACCAGGTGACACGCCCAAAGATCACAAGACCCAATATTTGACCAGGTGACACGCCCCAAAGATCACATGACCCAATATTTGACCGGATGACAAGGCCAAAGATCACATGCGCACTAACATACCACATTATCAGTATTTACACCAAATGACACTGATGCCAAAAACACCAGGAGGCGTAATAAATGAGGGTCGTGCGGTTTCCTGGTGAGATAGAATTAGGCAAAGGGCAAGGGTAGGGGAGAAAGTAGCCTACAAACAATAACATAGAAATTGAATTAACGGTGGTTCAGAACCACACGACCCTCATTTAGGCCACACGACACGCCCACAGGTCACATGACCACCCAGAGCCCCATGTTCTCGCGTGCGTTGTCCGTGCCGCCTCGACTGTCGATGTCTCTCTTCATGGCCCGGTAGATGTCGTTCAGGGCATCGTGGTGAGTCTGGCGACACAGACAAAATGCATACAAAAATACATACAACGTGAGCAACACAACACATTAAAATTGTATGACTAAAATAATGCATAAATACAACTTGACCAACACAACTCTTACATATGATGTGAGACACACAACTCATGGCGTTCATATGACCTAAAACAGTCGCCAGCGCAGTAAAACCTCTACTAAAACAAAACTAAAACACACACAACTCATACATATTTAAGTGATAAACACAACACATACAAATATTGTGATAAACACAACATATACATCTTATAATATGTGACAAACACAACACGTACACATAATGTGATAAACACAACACATACATCTTATAATATGTGAAAAACACAACACATACACATAATGTGATAAACACAACACATACATCTTATAATATGTGAAAAACACAACACATACACACAATGTGATAAACACAACACATACATCTTATAATGATAAACACAACATATACATACAGTGTGCTCAACACAACACATGCACATAATATGCTCTAGAGAGAGAGAGACAAAGACAGAGAGAGAGAGAGAGAGAGA